AGCTGCTCTCTAACAGGGTGCATGAATATCTCCATCCAATGTCCTGTGGAGCTGCTGATAGTCTCCTCCTTGATTTAAGCACACTTTGGATTAGTTCTAGTTGAACGAAGTACCTCAGGAACAACTCTGGTGTTAACAGAGAATTTTCTGCTCCATCTTTCACATAGGTTTTGAAATAAGGCCCATTAAAATCAATTACCTTCTTTTCATTAACTACAGTTGGCTTTGGATCAGGCCTGGGAAGATTCATGTCTTCCAGAAATGCCATCGGATGATTTCTTTAAAAAGCACTGAACAAAGATATACAACCTCATGGGCTGACTGGGGTGGGGAGAAAGTCCCATCTCTCTTTTATACGGTTGGCTTCCTGCTCATATCAGCATTAATTTAGATAATTAAATTGCTTAGTTCAGTAGTTGGAAGAGGCACGATCAGGCCACTCTACTAACAGGTCAGATGTATTAGTGTCCAGGGTTTTCTTCTCTTTATGTGTGTGAAAAGCTGTATTATTGGACACTGTCTTCCCCCCCCCCCGGCTAAGCTCTTCTTCAGAGGAGCATAGCAAAACCATTTAATATCACATTATGAATGCCACCATAGTTTCAGCATTTATATGGAATACGGTGATGTTCAGTGGCAGCAGACGAATGGATGAAATTAAGCACAATAATAGCATCAGTCCCCCTTGAATTTAACAGCATGATGAGCAGTTCAGTGTATTATTTAACAATACATAAGTAAAAGCTCAGATATGTTAAAGAGGAAACTAAAGTCCATAACTGGACATGCTTTTTTTGCATTCAGCCTTGAATCACGTTGTACTGTCCCTGTGGGGTCTTTGAACTTCGGCTTGCATGAGGTAGAAGCAGTTTTATTAAATCACACTCCAAAAATGCCATCTTACCCTTGACTCCAGTTGTGTTTTGTTTGGTTTTATTAATATTTGTGGCTGAATCCCTCCTCTGAAGGATGAGAGATCACAGAAAACGTTCTGTATTTTTCCACCTCTGACTCACATGGTTTTTGCCGTTGGTGACATTTCTCAAACCAGGACAGAAGAGCAATCTCTGGAGAGGATGAAATAGGGACTATCCAGGGCTTGTGCTTAAATGCCTTGTCCTATAAATGCCATGAAGTTTTCTTCTCTGCCACATTCTTTGTACCTGCCCCTTCTTTTTCCTTTATATTTCAGGATGCCATTTCAGGTTTGCTTCTGTTCTTTCACAGAAGCTTTTCTTCCTTGTTCCCTGAATTATGGTGATGTAACAGCTAATAGAGAGTCTGAATTTCACCTCCTTGAGAAGCGAGGTTAGAACAAAGTCACTGTATGTCCCTTCAGGATCAGGCTCTGGCAGGACAAATACAGAGAAGGATAGAAAACACCATCATCTTATTCTCAAAATACAGGGGTTTAGTTTCCTAAATAAATTGATGTCAGGATAATCTTTGCCTTTGTTTCTAACAGGAGTAAATCCCATGATGAAATGCAGCCCAGCTTTATGGTTCCTTTCTAGATATGTATGTGGTACTTTGGAAGGCCAAGTCTTAGCTCTGTTCCCATCCTCAAGGGCTAAAGCTCAAGAAGACAAAGCAGCATCCCTCAAGAGTACAAGGGAAGCCCAACAGTGAGCAAAATATTCAAGTACTTTTGAGATGAGAAGACCCAGTTCTCCTTCAACTCTTTTTCTTTTGAATGCTGCTTTTTATAAGCATTCATTTCCCAAAGCATTTACTTACCGTTCTAAAGTAAAGAGGCCTTACCACATATGCTCACTGACCTAAAACTCTATACCAGCCCCCCTGAAATAGCTATCCTGAAGCTGAAGGTTATATAGAGCTTGTATCTATCTTCTGCATGTTGTTTGCTCAGCTGTGAGTCGGTATGAATAGCTTAGTACTATGCCTGTATTTTAAGTGTAGAGAGCTGACTTCAACATTTACCAGCATACTTCTCAGCCTGAATGCCATTCCCACATCATGTTTGCATGTAGCCAGAATTATCCACCTCTTTTTTTCCCATTAAGCTATTAAAAACAGGGCCTCAGACACAGAGTCCACTGTTTGGTAATAAACTCAGACGTGATAGGATTTGTCAGTTCTTTTTGCAGTATCACTTAACACGTCTGAATGTGCCACAAGGGAAACCCAAAGTGATGTTTGTGAGATAAAAGGGGAAAAAGAGGTATTTTTGAAGGATGTACGTTCACTTAGGCCACTTTGAAGAAAATTATTCCCACATGAGTGGCTGAACTAAAAATAATGACAATAAAAAAATCCACGTTGGTCATTTGGAAATAGGGTCAACTAAACAGAAGTTCTTATTCTTGGATTGCTCTGAAGCCTAAACCATCACACTTCTGGCTCCTTTTCGACCCTTTTTTCTGGAAAGGGAAATGTTGGTCAGCTGCTGTAATCTGAGACTGGGATGAGACAGGCTAAGGTGGGAAAGGAATGAGTGTGGAAAACTCATAACTAAAAAAGGCTTTATCTCCAACCATTCTTCTAACACCCCTGAAGACTGCCTTGCCATGATTTGAATCCTGTTGATGTGAGTGGGGCAATTTTCTCTCACTGATATATCCATACATAAAGTAGCTGCATGTTTAGAGACTTGTTTCAACTCTTCATGCTATAAAAATAGATAAAATAATGTATTTTGGCCTGAATGCAAGAATAATATTGAATCACGGATGTGTATGAAAGCCACCACAGGTTATAAATACAGATTTTAAGCAGATGTTATGATTTGATTTGGGTTTTTTCCCACTATTTTTAGCCTAAATGACTGTTCTGAGACATCTTTCAGCATTCATAGTGCAGAATTGAGCTCTTGAAGTGTTTTTTTGTGGAGCAGAGAGGAATGACTCCTTAGAGACGCAGCTCTCAGACCTGGCCAAGTAGGCAGGTCCTAATGCTGGGGCAGAAGTCACACATGTACCAAGAGATCCACATCCATTGAGCTCCCTGTCAGGCTGCATCCTCTGCCTGTTGATCCAGCATCCATCTGTCCATCCGCCGTCCTTCTGACTGACACCAGCTGGTGCTCTGCCTCTTTTATCCTGGCCTCATGTGGGACAGCAGCTGGCAAAGGCTGTTTTAATACTGTATTTACAAAGCTTCACAGTGATGCAAGCCCAGACACATTGAAAAGCTGTTTTGAGCACCCAGCTATGAAGTGCCGCACGGCAGATCTGGTTTCCCATCTCTCACTGCTGCCACTAACCTGCTTTAACATCCCCAGCACCAGAAAACAATGTTTCCTAAAAGATACACGGGAGGAAAAACTTTGGCTTAAGCTCTCATAGTTATTTTAAGTAATGCTCGCCCTGATCCCTCTGCAGGCGGGTGCCTGGTCGGTATTTCAGTAATGTACTTGTGTAAAAGGAAATCCTAATTACTGCAGGGCACGGTGATATTTTCATGCCCTTTTTACCCCGTAACCTTTTCCAGCTCCCTTAAACCTCAGCACCTCACTGTCTCACAGGGACACCCTCTGGTTGAGGTATAAACTGCAGCGCCTTTGGAGGTGGGGATGATACCTGAGCGATCATGATTTTTCTTCTTTAAAGTATTCCTTCTTGCATTTATGTTCTGCTGCTGGCAGATCATCCCAAATCTCATTTGAAGGGTGCAGGGTTTATTAGATATATTCCTTTTCTCTTTGTCTGCATATGATATGGACTTGTGAAAAATAGGAGCCTGTATTTTGTCCTGGGAATAAGGATTTACAGCTCATCTCAACAACTGCATAAGATTTCCCCGTTTTTATTTCCTAACCCAGGATGACACACACTTTATTTCTGATACATGGTAGAGATAGGCCCAGCATTTGGCTGATCAAGGCTGGTTTTGAACAAATGCTGACACCACCGTTCTTTCTGTCTGTGATTCCCACAGAACCCTATTGCTTTGAACAGAAATATCCTAGAATGTGTAATCAGTGATGATCTACAACATACAGTTTCCCTTCATGCCTCTTTTACCCAGCTGCTAACAGTGAGAAACTGATGTGCATGTTAACAGATTGAAGAAACAGAAATTCCTTTAAAAATGGATGAAGAAATCTCTTGTGTTTGAGAGGAAAAGGCAGATTCAGGAGCAGGGAGAAAGTTTTCCAGAATGATTCCTTGGAAAGCTACAGAGTGGAAATTGTTTTCCCCTGTTTGTGTACACAGTAGATAGAACTGCAGTGGTTATGTGATGGGGGTTGGAAATAGATGATCTTAAGGTCCTTTCCAACCCAAACCATTCTTTGATTCTATGATCTAATAAAAAATAGCAAGACAACAGCAATAAATAAATAATAAAATTAAATTTATTAACTGTAGAAAATACAGTTAAACTTTTAACAGCCCAGCCACTTTACATGCCTTGTTACACCACCACCGGCTTCAGTTAAGGTAAAGTCAAACCAATGACCTTAAACTGAAGATCATCCACCTAAGCTTTTGCGCTTCTTTAAACTGAAGAGTTGAAAGGTGTGTTTTGAAGCTGCTGAGTTTACTCCTATAAAGAAGGATTGAGGGCAACAAATATACATTTGAAAGCAGCCATGTATTTTTAGCAGTTGTCATTTCTGAGGCTGTGGGACTGAAAGCAGCAGTGGGTGAAGCAGCAACCGGTTGTGTGTGATTTGCAGTGGTTTGTATCTCTGCTCTGTGTTGTGTATCTCCTAATGATGAATGTGTGGGAGGGCCAGGTCAAGAATAGTTTCCACTCCAGTGCGTTGATTGTATACTTGGCAGTGGGCTCAATTAAAGTATAATAATCTGGTAATCTCCCTCCTGTTTCCATTCAGGCTGCTGCACGCTGAATAGAGCTAGTGAAAGAGTATAGCTTTTGGAAAGTAGGTGAAATCCCGCCTCTTTGTCTGAGCAGTTTGTGTCTAGTTAAGTAAAATGAAGGCGGAAGAGACAGCTCTCCAAAATGTTGCTCCATGACTTGCACCATGACTGCTGTTTATTTCTGAGGTAACCTTTGCTGTTTATTTCCTTTTCTAGGCTACGGATTGGATTTCTAAAGAGCTTCGCACCACAGAGAGCAGACAGGCTAATGTGGGAAAGGAGATATTGAGATGTCCATGATGGGAAGATGCTGTGTGCCCCATCTCCTGGTTCTTCTCACATTTGTGTTCAGCGGGGAGCGAATTGAGGCACAAAGAGCAGGTATGTGCAGTTTGACTTACTGCCCATGCTAAGTAGCTGCTGGGCCTTTTACATGGTTGAGAAGCTATTATTGCCATGAGGAAAACGATAGAAAAAAAAAGCCAAGCGAATCATTTACTGCTGAAAAGACATAAAATAGACTTTAGGAATGGAGATAGCCTGGGGATCAAGGTTATGATTTACGTAGGGTCTCTTTTCTGCCACAGGCTTAATGGTTAGCTCAGCTACCCACAGCAAAGAGAGCAGCACACAGTTTACTATGGATACACTTCATGTACCTCAGACTGGTATGGAGACCACTTCATCAGTTGCCATCAGTGGATGCCACATTAGAGTTGGTGAATCTTCTGTCTAGCTGGGACTTTCCTAGTTTGCTAAACAGGGCCAGGACACCTCCTTGGTTCATATGTTCATACATGATGATAGGATAAGGGGTAATGGCTTAAACTGAAAGAGGGGAGATTTAGATTAGACATTAGGGAAAAATTCTTCCCTGTGAGGGTGCTGAGGTGCTGGCACAAGGTGCCCAGAGAAGCTGTGGCTGCCCCATCCGTGGCAGTGTTCAAGGCCAGGTTGGAAGGAGCTTGGAGCAAGCTGCTCTAGTGGAAGCTGTCCTTACCTGTGGCAGGGGTTGGAGCTGGATGAGCTTAAGGTCCTTTCCAACCTAACCTATTCCATGATTATATGATACTGTATAGCTGCTAGCATGCTCCCTGGCATGGCTTTTGGCCTGTGCTGCTGAGCACTCTCCCCAGAAAGCCACTGAAGGGTTTGCATTAGAGGATGATGCAGCTAAAGGACTGTTCCTATCAGCAATCTTGACAAGGACATGGCTTTTCTTAAGTAGTAAGACGAGTTGTCTGGCTGCAAATGATGCTGCATCTCAGGGACAGAAAATGGTTGTAAACCCACAATTTACTGGTGTAAAAGCCCAAAGTTACTTTGAGGTCGAGGTTTTCAGTCCCTTTTTCTAGGAAAAAAAGCTATTTTGTACGCTTGGGTAATTTATAAGAAAAGAAAGGCTTTTTTAGACCTTTTCTTGCTCTAAGGAACAGCTACTTTATGACCTGTATAAGGCTTTTTGGATGAAGTTTAGCAGGAGTAAGTACTTAGTAATAAACCAAAGTGAAATCTCATCTTTTTTCCTACCTGTGGATCAGTCGTAGGAAATGATGATGGTACCACTTATATGTTCATTCTGTGATTACTTTAAATAATTTTGGTCTTACGGCTTGTTTGTGAAGTATTTTTAATAGCAATATTGCAAAACAGTTGACTCAATGTCTGAGTGGATGAACACAGCTCCTGGAATTATGCTTCCAGAGAGTATTCCTGTAATTACAAAAATGAAAGTTCACTTTCTATGAATTATCTCCCATGTTCCCTTAACAGGAACTGATTCTGCCAGTAAACAACATCATTATAGCATTCTTGGAAAACAATCAATTTTTTCCAGCAGTGGACACTACCATGCTGAAAATGCAGATTAATATTTACTAAAAGCTTTTCTGCAGCATTTCATCTCACTGTCATCAGGTCTGCAAGCAAAGAGGCTCTAAGAAAATGATCCTGAAAGACCATCTTTTTCTTCCCTGCAATACTGCTTGAAATAAGCATCATTTTTAAACCTTCACCCCCTCCTTGTTCTAAGGCTCATCACCCCTGAACTCAGGATTCATTCTGCCTGTTCTGTTCCTTTCTAAATTGCAGTCATCTCACCTGCTGAGAGTTGTTAAAATGAAGGAAGGTCTGTGCCTTGCGGGTTTTATACTCAACCCTTTATGTTCTTTAGTTAACCTCACCTAATATTCCTGCAGACAGAATAGTTTAATTTAGTAATTAGGTTGTTGTTTTTTTTTTTGGGGGGGGGGGGAAGTGGAGATTTCTTGCTTATTTTTTACTGTTCGGTATTCTATGTAGATCCTGTTTTATATTCTGACAAAAATCAAACAAAACTACACTTCTCTTTTCCTTCTTCTTTCCTCTTTCTCTTTTCTTCTTCCTTTCTTTTTCTTTCTTCTTTTATTTTCTTCTTTTTCTTCTTTTCCTTCTTCTTTCCTCTTTCTCCTTTCTTCTTCCTTTCTTTTTCTTTCTTCTTTTATTTTCTTCTTTTTCTTCTTTTTCATCTTTATTCTTCTTTCTTCTTTCTTTAATTATTATTACTATTATTGTCATTATTATAATAATATTTCAATTATTAATCTGTTCTTATCTCAACCCATGAGTTTTCTCACTTTTACCCTTACAGTTCTCTTCTTCAGATTGTTATCAGTGGTCCCAATCCCATACGGTTAGGCTTTTCCCATAAACACCTATGCAGCACTTGGGATGCATTCTGCTACAGAAGTTAACACAACAACAGATGATGCTCATTTTTCATCATCACCTGCAATACACAGGGTGTATATTCTGCCACTCTCACAGCCATCACGCATACCATGAGCACTGACTATAGTGTTATGCTGACCTATAATGCTTATACTCTTATCTGAAGGCAAGTAATCTTCATGTAGCTGAGCTACCCACGCTCTTTTCCAGTGCAGGGGGATATTCAGGATTTCTGTCCTCTTCAGGGCAGGTGCACAGCCCCAGCAGGATCAAAAGCACCAGTGCTGATTCATGAACCCTTAGGTCAGATTTGGTCAGGGTCTCAACAGTCATAGCATGTCCCACTGCTTCCAGCCAGGGAGCAGGGAAGGCTGGGGAATGGCAGCTAGGCTCAACTGGCAATCCAAATACCAGGCAAGTTCATAGTGATGAAGCAGTTCCAAGACTAAGCCAGGAGCATGAGTCACGGTCCAGATCAGATCCAAGGAGAGCATCCAGGGTCAGCCCTGCTCCAGATAAACACGTAAAGGTGAGGGACGTCTGAGGTTAAGCCAGGTGGTCAGTCCATGCTTCAGGACTTAAAAGCAGTTTCCAGAGGAAGAAGAGACAGGCCTTTCTCGAATACTTCCAGCAGAGCTTTCTGAGGAGCCCACCCAAGGTCAGGGAACCACGGGAGATAAACCCTGGAGAAGGGGTTTACTCTCAGGGCCATCAGGAAAGGATTTCAAGCTTTCACAGTGAATCTTTCAAGCATCTCCACTTTGTTCATAGCATGGAGCAGACCTGACTTGATTTCTGATGAAACTGCAGTGGAAGATGCACTTCATTATTAATGGGTCTCAGTCACTGATGGGCATTTAGTTACTGGAACCTGGCTGGAACTAGTCTGATGTGAGTAAAAACATGCAAACTCTACAATAGGAATGTCACTTTTTAATGTATTTATAGCTAAACTGTCCTCGATGAGTATATGCTTAAGTTATGTATTCTCACAAATGGTCTGACCAAGAAAGGAGGCTTGGTCAGTCCTGGTCAGAGCCCAGAGGAGGTTAACATGGTGGTACTGGGAATAGTTGGGAGAATCAGGGTTTTTTAATAAAATAGGAATGAACAGAACAGATCTACTCTCAGTGGGTGTGGGTAGATGTGGATTACCAGCTAAGGTCCTGGTAAAGCAGTAGGATTTAAAAGCAATTGCCAACGTCTTAAGGGCCAGATAGAACAACTCCAGTTCAGATGATCACAAAAAAACCTGTTACTCTGGGAGAAATAAAGTGGCACAGGCACTGTTATGGACTAGCTCTCTGTCTTGTACCATGTTATGTGTGCTTTGGGCTCCATATAATTGGTCAAATTATCAAACTGCTTTTCAAAAAAGTGGTTAAACTTTGTGAGACAACATGAGACAAGCACTATTGGAGAAACAAAGGTTGGTGCTTGTGACCACAGAGAAATTGACTTTGTAGAGCAGCTTTTTTCAAGCTTGAAACTCATAATTTGTTAGGCATTATGGTCTATAATAGTGAATTAAAGAAACTAATACATGCATATGTATTTTGTCCAGTTGGGGCATTATATTGATAAATCTTTGACATCTATGGGACGTTTATCAATCTACAGCCTCCTAGCTTCAGAAACAGCTAGAAAACATCTCCTGGGAGATGTCCTTTCTTGGCAGGAAGGTGACAAATATATGACCAGTCTGACTTCATAGGGCAAGCAAGATGCAATTAGAATAGATTTGCCTTTTGGATTACACAGGCCTCAGATTACAAATATCATGGCTGCAGGCAAAAAAGTGGTTGTGGGGATAAGTGAACTTTTTCCTTACAAAGCAACTGTCCTTTGTTGTCAAGGAAGCCATCCCGGTATTCAGTGAATCATCCTTTAGTCAACAGTCAATGGCAGAGAGCCTCAAAATTAAAATAATCTTGTTATAAACTTGCTTCACCAACATATCATGCTGAGCAAAAGAACTGCTTCTACCTAAGCATAAATCAATCATCATGTTAATGGAAGAGGAAGCATGAGACCTTTGCTACTCAAGGTCATGATTGACATGGGCAAGTTCAGGGCAGGTCTCTTGATCTGCCAGGAGAGCATGGCCTGAGCAAAGGCACTGTAATGGAGTTTGAGAAAAAAAACTTAATATGCATGCAGATGGTGTAGGAGAAAGACTGAGCAGAGGCAGTTAGTAGAGCAGGAGGAGAATGGGTTTGCATTTCAAAGCAAAGTGTGTGTTCATCTGTAGATGTCCTGAAACAGATGAGGTGAATCACAAGGAAGAAAGGCTGAGAATCTGCACTTTCTCTGCAGGATAAGGAGAATGTTTGCTGCCTCCTCTAAATTGCTCACTAGGGAGCCATGCCTAGGGGTTATTTGGTATGCCTGGTACTCTTCTTTCATCTTCCCTTAGCAATGTTTTCTGCCGCTCCTACAGGTTGCAAGAACGTTCACTATGACCTTGTCTTCCTCTTGGATGCCTCCTCCAGTGTTGGAAAAGAGAATTTTGAGAAAGTTCGGCAGTGGGTGTCTAATTTGGTGGAAACTTTTGAGATCGGCCCAGACAAAACCCGTGTTGGTGTGGTGCGATACAGCGATCGTCCGACCACAGAGTTTGACCTGGGGAAGTACAGAACTCGCGAGGAAATCCAAGCAGCTGCACGAAACATTAAGTATTATGGGGGTAACACCAATACTGGAGATGCTCTCAGGTACATCAACACCTACAGCTTTTCCAAAGAAGCTGGTGGGAGACTTAGCGATCAAACTGTTAAAAAAGTGGCCATCCTTTTGACTGATGGAAGGAGCCAGGATCATGTCTTGGATCCCGCCAATGCAGCCCATCAGGCTGGGATTAGGATCTTTGTTGTGGGTGTTGGTGAAGCCCTAGAAGAGGAACTTGATGAGATTGCTTCAGAACCCAAGTCTGCTCACGTGTTTCATGTCTCCGATTACAATGCCATCGATAAAATCCGGGGGAAGCTGAGAAGACGTCTCTGTGAAAGTAAGTAGAGCTCCCAGCTCTTCTAAACAGTTAGAATTGTAATAGATTCAGTTACCATATAGGTATGAAAAGCTGTGATTGGCTTGTTTTGTGGGTTTAAACTTAAACAAGGGAAGTTAAGTTTAGATACAATGAAGAAGTTCTTTACTGTGAAAGTGGTGAGGCACTGGAACAGGCTGCCCAAAGAAGTGGTAAATGCTCCATCCCTGGCAGTGTTCAAGGCCAGGTTGGACAGAGCCTTGGGCAACATGGTCTAGTGTGAGGTGTCCCTGCCCATGGCAGTGGGGTTGGAACTGGATGATCTTAAGGTCCTTTCCAACCCTAACTATTCTATGATTCTATGATTCATGCTTATAATTCTATGCTGATAAATCTTTATTTTAGTGTCTTCCACTCTGTTCTACTCTGTAAGGAATCATTCTATTACCTTGAGTGTGATGAAGTGATCACTTCTAGGATTCTTTTGCCCAAGTCAGTATTCACTATAGGTTAACCGTAGCCCATATTATGTATTAACTATAACAAGGGGATAACCCTTCTTACATCTGCTATCTCAGAGGCATTACCACCATCACTGGTGGGCTCGGCACTGGCCAGTGATGGGTCCATCTTGGAGCTGGCTGGAATTGGCTCTGTCAGACATGAGGCTTCTGGCATCTTCTCACAGAAGCCACCGCTGTAGCCCTCCTGCTACTGAAACCTTGCCATGCAAACCCAATATGAGGCTGCTAAATGGATTGGTTTCAGCGTAAGGACAAAGGGAATCAGACAGCCATCAAGGAACATTAGTAAGGAATGAAGAAGAGTGGAGAAGAAAGGAGGGAATTAGCTGAACAAACAGCAAGTAGATAAACGTGCACATATAGCAACCACTGAGGCAGAGTTGTAAGGACATTAACAGTGACAAGGTGAATTGGGTATTGAGGTACATGGAGCACATTGCATGCAGGTGGATTTTATAAGTAGATGCAGGGCAGAAAGAGGAGTTATCAACTAAGGCAGCAAACACAGGTTCAATGGACTGGGTTGCACAGCAACAGCAGTTATAGAAGGTCTGCTGTAGCTATTCCTGGGGGGCGTTCTGATCCAGGGGCTCTGATGATATGGTCCAACATCCCTAGATACTTCATTCCCACCTCTATGGGGGTCATCTTCTTCCCAGCATCTGTCCTCAATCACTCTTGCTGCAATTAGAGCCCAGTTTTGTTCTGATTTCACTGGATATCAAAAATTATTTACTCTGTTCCTCTGTACCTCATTTTTTTCTGCTTGGAAAACCATTATATGTCTTTTCTTCCTAGATTTAGAGCAAGGAAATGGCTCTTTGGCAGAATCATTCTTGACATACTTAATTTATTTGACATACTTAATATAATTAATTTATTATTAATTTTATTATTTACTTTCTTTAATCCACTGTTCTGCATGCAAAATGTTTTTAATAGGCATGATGTTTAGTTCAGGTCTAAACAAATAAGAAATTCTTGCTGTCACTGAAGCTGGCTACTGAAATAGAGGATGGGATCAGCAGAAATATTAGTTTTGAGGTCAGATAACTTCTTTGTTATCTGAGTATGTGAGGTGGAGCTGTTCTGGGAGGTGAGAGAGGGCTGGTGCAGAACAGGACCAAGTGATTTCTTGTGCCTCTTCATGTTAACACAGTAGGAATAGGAAGAGAGTTTACTGTAAGGGCTATGCCCTATAGGTATTTAGAAGGTAAAGCCTTTTACAGCTGTTGTAGTTAACTCTGTGGTTTTAATGACAGCTGTGCATTAACCAGGACCATGCACACCACCAGGTGGGTGGAGGGCGTGACAAGGGCACAAGCCAAGCTGCTGTTCAGTTCATGCACATCCTAAGACAAAAGCACACATTGTCACAGCCAAGCTAGGGTTTTAATAGACATAATCCTTGGAGAGCTCCTGGGAGACACATGAATGGAGGAGAGGAAATGGTAGGAGTGTTTTGGTTGTACTGAGCAGTGATGAGTCTTCCAGTCCTCATAGTGCTGAGACGTGGAGTCCTGAAGTCTTGTAAATGCTGCATTTCATGCCAACAGCTGTTCAGAATCACTCATCTAGGGGCTCACTGGACATCTGTCCTAGACTAAGTCATTCCATCTCGCTATATTTGACTGAATTTATTGCTAGGACAGTATCATTAAGTGCATTAATAGCATTTTAGCTCTCATTTGATCTTGTGGAAACAAGCATAGCAGAATTGGAAAATACCATGTCTGCTCAGTGGGACATTGTGGCAGTGGGAGATATTTTTGCCAAACCTCTCCATTGCAGTCTGAACTATAGTTAGCAGGCAAAAAAATGGGTGATGCTTTCACAGGAAAGCAGCAGAGGTACATTCTGCTAAAAATTCCAGAGATGCTACGTGCTTCCTAAATAAGATCTCTGCTTACATATTGTAGAGATAACAACAGGCAGCTATGTTGGTAGATTTAAAAATACACCAACATCTGCTCCTTGTAGGTAAACAGCGGCTTTATGCTTGTCAAAGAGAGCTTTTTTTTTTTTTTTGCTTTATTTCAACTCAGATTTAATTTAAAGCTGGATTTTATGTTACTGCATGTACAGAGTTTTCAACCTGGTTTGAAACTGGTAGCACTGTTTAGCACTGACATTTAAGCCTCAATGCAGAAGATGTTGCAATGGTGACCTAAAACATACATACCTGCCTAGAGGTAATTGTTTCTAAACAACACCAATTGCAGTGCTTTGGATGCTGTCATATTTGGGTTTATTCTGTTATCCATAAGTGAGGCAGGTGATAAGATACAGTTTTCAAAGCTGAGGAGAAAGATTTCCCCAAAACATTCTCAGCCTTTACTGGCTCCAGAGAGCAGAGCCTGTGACTTAGGACCCTCAGAGTACTTGGGTATGTGCATGTGCATATGTATGTGCATGTGCATATGGATGTGCAATTACTGAGCCTCTGCTCTACTGGAAACATCAGATTTCACAACTTGAAAATAAATTTGGCTTTAAAGGTAGAGATTCTGCTAAGATTTGGGTGGATTTTTTTTAATACAGCTAGTAATAGAAGAAACACAAACAGATGTTTTCTAAGGAAGTACTACAGAAGCATTATACTGAGCACTGGTCTGTGTCCTGTAGTGACTTTCATGTATAACACAGCCCTTTCTACAAGCAGTTTTCAGCTATCTCTGAGCTTGGCGAGTTCCTTGACATAACAAGTTCCTCTGCAAGTGCAATAGGTTGCCCAGAGAAGCTGTGGCTGCCCCATCCCTGGCAGTGTTCAAGGCCAGGTTGGACAGGGCTTGGACCACCTTGCTCTAGTGGAAGGTGTCCCTGCCTGTGGCAGGGGTTGGAACTGGATGAGCTTTAAGGTCCCTTCCAACACAAAGCATTCTTTCTATGATTCTGTGATTCTAGATGTGTGAAGACCAAAGGATTATCTCATCATATAAATCTCAAATGCTTTGCAAACACAAGGAAAAATGTTTCAGTGACTGGTTGGTACCAATGATGTAGTGAGGCCTGTGATAGTAAGGTGATCTTGCTCCTCTACTGAGGCCATCCTGCCCCTCTATTCTTCTCTTGTGAGACCTCGCTTGGAGTATTGTGTGCAATTCTGGTGTCCCCAACACAAAAAGGACATGGAACTGTTGGAACAAGTCCAGAGGAGGCCACGAGGATGATCAGGGGACTGGAGCACCTCCCGTATGAAGATAGGCTGAGAAAGTTGGGGCTGTTCAGCCTGGAGAAGAGAAGGCTACGTAGAGACCTCATAGCAGCCTTCCAGTATCTGAAGGGGTGCTATAGGGATGCTGAGGATGGACTCTTCATTAGAGACTGTAGTGATAGGAGAAGGGGTAATGGGTTCAAACTTAAACAGGGGAAGTTTAGATTGGATATAAGGAGGAAGTTCTTTACTGTAAGGCTGGTGAGGCACTGGAATGGGTTGCCCAGGGAGGTTGTGAATGCTCCATTCCTGGCGGTGTTCAAGGCCAGGTTGGACGAAGCCTTGGGTGACATGGTTTAGTGTGAGATGTCCCTGTCCATGGCAGTGGGGTTGGAACTGGATGATGTTAAGGTCCTTTCCAACCCAAGCTGTTCTATGATTCTATGATATAATACCAAAAGGAGTCACAAGATTCATAACATTTATTTTTGTTTGCACGTCTTTGTAGACTTTGTGTTATATATGCAGTGCATAAAATATAAGTCTTATGCTACCACTGTTCTGTTTCTGATGCAAAAAGGCTTCCAGAAACACCTTGAAAACCATTTTAGGTAGCAATCTAAAAGGTTTTTGAAGTCAGCTTTGCTCAGGGTCATGGTATGTTCACAGAAGAACAGCAAGCTGTTTTTTCCTTGTCTTCAATGTTAAAAATATCTCATGCACAGACACCATAACAAAGGGTAGGCATCTGAATCGCCATATCTTGACTGATAGTTCCTAAAAGACTTATCATTATAGTCAAATCTCACATGAGTACTGAAACATTGGAATGCATCAGCACCTAAGAGTTTACCTCCATTTTATACTTCCTCTTAAGCTCTAAGGTTTCACTGTGAAAGCATTAATTTCTAGGTAGCTTTGCACTAGACATCATGCAATAAGAAAGGAAATAGAACTCAACAAACTGGCAGGACTGAGAATCCAAAGGGATTTTAATGAACACAGTTGTAGTGGTAGTTTTAGTTCTTCTAGTTTGTTGAGTGGAACTTGTGGACTTGGGGATTTGTAGACTGGTTCTGCTTTCATAGTTGGACTATGACTTTATTTGGTCTTTTCAAAAGCAGCTCAGCAATAGTGCCAAGTCTTGCTTGGTCTTACTGCAGGAGTTCTTTTTCATTGTTGCAATGGTTTGTAGAGACCTCTTACAAATGTGGACATAGCTTCTTGTCTGTGGCAGAACTTCGTACGTGCCACAAGTGCATTTAGTTGGAAAACTGTTTGGTGTCAACCTCCGTGCTGAATGCAGAGAAAGTTAAAGTGTTCATCATCACAGAATCATCACA